CAACACAATTTTACATTTATACGTAAATATCTATCTATAGACATAATATATATATATATATATACATATATATATACATATATATATACATATATATATATAGACATGCATATATAATATATTTATGAATGAATATATAAAAGGAGCGGAGACACCACAAAGGAGACAACAAATTAACTCAAGGAGACAAAGGGAAGGAGACAGAGACAGACAAATATTTTATTTTAATTTGTTTGTCTGTCTTTGTGTCTGCAGCAGCCATCTCTGTTTATTTTTAAAACTATTTCTGTCTTTTTCTCGCGGTAATGAGCTGCTGCTAAAAGGAGACACCATTGTGTCAGCAGCATCTGCTGCTGCTGCTGCTGCTGCTGGTGGAGCTGCTGCAGCTGCTGCTGTCTCTCTTTGTTGCTGTTACTATTCGGCTTTCTCTTAGTCTCTGCGGGTTATTGCCGTTTGTTTATCTCTAATTTACTCTGATTAAAAATAAATGTCTCCACTCGCACTAGCTGCAACAGCAAAACAATACTGCTGTCTCTGCTGCTGTCTCTGTCTCTGCTGCTGTCTCTGTCTCTGTCTTTGCTGCTGTCTCTGCTGCTGTGTCTGTCTGTCTCTCTCTCTGCTGCCGTCTGTATCTACTGCTGTCTCTGTCTCTGCTGCTGTCTCTGTCTTTGCTGCTGTCTCTGTCTTTGCTGCTGTCTCTGTCTTTGCTGCTGTCTCCTTTTGCGTGCCTGTGTGGCCGACGCCTGTGTGTGTTATATTTGCTGCTAGAAGAGCAGCAGCAAATTAAATATATTTGTTTATCTAGAAAAGAGACAGGAGACAATAAAACAAAAAATAAACCCTACAAACATTAAACCTGTTCTTGTCTCTCAGCGCAGTATATCTGCGCATGCACGCATTTAAACCTAGGGTTTAGGGTTTAGGGTTTGGTGCAAGACGCCCGTTGCTACCGCGAAGAACTGAGGTGTACATACACCCCAGTGGATAGAAGCGTGTTGTTAAAAGTAATAATTATTTTTTATCGAGTTGCTGCAGCAGGGGTAAACAAAAGCAAAAGAAAATACCTGCACAGACACCCCAATAGCCCCAACAGCAAAACCCCTCATTATACACCGCACAAACAAAACCCATGCTGATGCTGATGCTGCTGCTGCTGCTGCTCTTGCTGCTGCTGCTGCTACTGTTGCTGCAGCTGCTGCTGCTCGCCTGGTGTCTCCTCCAGAGTGTCTCTGTTCAAAGAAGGAAAGCCTAGACCAGCATCTTTGCTGCTACTTCTAATTATGCTGCTGCCGCTGTTGGTGCTACTGCTGCTGCTGCTGCCGCTACTGTGAGCGCCGTCAGCAACACCAGCGTCAGTAGATACCGTTTACTGCTCGCAGTTGCTGCTGCTGCTGCTGCTGTTGCTTTCAAAGCCACCATCTGCAGCAGCAAGTTTATCTTCAGCTTCGTGCTCCGGCTCAGTACTACTCCCACTGTTGCCGTTGCTGCTGTCGATGCTACTGTTGCTGCTGCTGCTATCTGCAGCAGCTTCAGTATCTGCATCAAGGGTCTCATCAGCGGCCCCTGCTGCCGATCCTTGCTCGAGGTATCTGCTGCTGCTGCTGGCAGCAGCAGCAGATGCAGCAGCATCTGCTGCTGCTGCATGAAGCCCTGATGCTTCTTTTTTCCCGTCTCCATTGACACTAATTGCTGCTCCCTTGCTGCGAATGGGCAGCTGCTGCAGCCGCTGCTTGCAGCTGCCGCTGCTGCTGCTGCTGCTGCTGCTGCAGTTGCTGTCCCTATCTCTTTGCAGCAGCAGACACACCTCAGCCTTAGTGAGGGCCCAGAGAGCAGTCAGCAGCCGCAGCACTTCCGCAGCAACTGCTCCTGTCTCTCTTGCTTCACCCATATGCTGCAGCTGCTGCAGCTGCTGCAGCTGCCGCTGCTGCTGTTGTTGCTGCGCTCCCCCCTCCACTGGACGCTGCAGCAGCAGCTCCACCTGAGAGTAGAAGGCAAAAAAGGAGACAGCAGCAGCAGCAGCATGTGCTGCTGCTGCTGTCTCCCGAGACACCCGACGGCCCAGCCGCCGCAGCGCAGCACCAGCGGAGATCGCAGCACGCTTTGCTGCTGCTGCTGCCGCAGCAGCAGCAGATGCTGCATTCAAAGGTCTTTCTGCTGCTGCTGGTGCTGTTGCTGCTGCTTCTGGAGGCTGTTGCGTATTTCCTCCCCCTGTCTCTTCAAACCCTGGCCGAGGCGCTGCTGCTGCAGATACACTAGGGGGGGCTGCTGTCTCTGCTGCATAACACTGCGGTTGCTGCTGCTGCTGCTGCTGCTGCTGCTGCTGTTCATTGTGTTGCTGTTGCTGCTGGTGACGCTGCCGATCTGCTTCAAGAAATGTCTCCTCAGCAGCAAGATGCTGCTGCAGCAGCTGCAACACCTCGCTGTCCCCCATTTGCTGCGGGTGCTGCCGCTGCTGGTGCTGCTGCCGCTCTTTCAAGCCTTCTTGCTGTTGCTCGTGTTGCTGTTGCTGCGGCTGCTGCTTGCTGTGCTGCTGGTGTTCGTGCTGCTGTTGGTGCAGCAACCTCTGCTGTTCACGTGAAAAACTTGCCCCATCATCAGGGGAGGGCTGTTTCTGCTGCTGCTGCTGCGGCTGCTGCTGCTGCTGCTGTTGGGGCGGCGGCCCATCTCCAGGTGTCTCTTCATCGTTGACTTCGTCAGTGTGGAGGTCAGCTGGCAGTTGCCCTTTCTGGTGTTGCTGTTGTTGCTGCTCGTGCTGCTGCTGCACCTGTTGCTGCTGCTGTTCCTGCTCCTGCTGTTTCTGCTCCTGCTGATCCTTTTGCTGTTGCTGTTCCTGTCCTCGTTCTTGCTGCTGCTGCTGCTGTTCCTGCTGCGGCTGCTGCTGCTGTTCCTGCTGCTCCTGCTCCTGCTGCTGCTGGTCCTGCTGCTGCTGCTGCTGCACTGCTGCTATACGCATCTTGAGGCCCGAACGGAGCTGCTGCAGCAGAGCAGCCTCTGTAGCAGCAGCAACGCATCGCACAGGCAAACTGCAAGTGTTTCCTCACCAAACAGCAGCAGCAGGAGCAGCAGCAAAATCAGCAGCAGCAACATAGCTGCAACAAGAGCAACAGCAAAATCACCTGCAGCAACAGAGCAGCAGCAACAGCAGCAACGGCAGCTACCGCTTACCCCCATTTGCAAGGCCGCAGCTATCTCCGTACTGCAGCAGCAAATCATTGAGAAGCAGCAGCTGCTGCAGCCGCTCTGCCCCTCCAACTGTGTCGCCTGCTGCTGCCGGCAGCTGCGTAGCCGACGCAGCAGCTGTTGCTGCTGCTCCTCCTGCTGCGGGTGAAGGTTCGCTGCTGCTGCTGCTGCTGCGGTTGCCTAGCCTGAAGCAGCAGCACGAACAACATCAGCCATCAACATCAACAAACCGTGCAACACAGCAGCAAGCGGATTGTGCGATGGCACCCTAGTAGTGCTTCTGTTGCTGCTGCTGCTGCTGCTGTTGCTGCTGCTGCGGCTGCTGTTGCTGCTGCTGCTGCTGTCAACGTACCACCGCAGCTGCAGCACCGACTTGAAGATTTGCCAGAGAAGTTTCGTAGCGAAATCCTGAAGCTCAGGGTCGCTCAGCACCTGCAACAGCAGTAGCAGCAACAGCAGCAACAGCAACAGCAACAGCAGCAGCAGCAGCAACAGCAACTCATCATATTCATGGTACCTGATCTCCTCAGCGCATTCACTGCCACATGCGGGGACAGTAGCGGCCAGCTAGCCAGCAGCAGCAGCAGCAAGGGAAACAGCAGCAGCAGCAGCAGCAAGAGCAGCGGTAGCAACAGTAGCAGCAGCAGCAGAAGCAGCAGCAGCAGCAGCAGCAGAATTCGGACCTCACTTGCATTACAAGGTCTCGCGAAAGAATTGCGGTGCTCTCCATTTGCAGCACATCCCACGAAGCACGGGCGAGCTGAGCAGCGCAGCAAATACTGTGCAGCTGCTGCTGAAGCTGCTGCTGCCCTTACTGCAGCAACGGCAAGTGCAGCAGCAGCAGCAGCAGCAGGTCTGCTGCTGTTGCTGCTGCAGGAGCAGCCGCTGATGCCACTGCTGCTACTGCTGCAGTTTGTGCTGCTGGCTAAACTTCAGCAGATGCAGTAATATCAGCAGCAACAGCAGCGCATGCAACAGCAGCATTGGCACTAGCAGCAGCAGCAGCAGCAACAGCAGCAGCAGCAGTATTGCTTACCGTCTGGCAGAGCTGTTCGTAGAGGTATTGATTATTAAACAACTCATTTGTGCTGCAGCAAACGAACAAACAAACACCACTTGCCGCTGCAGCAACAGGAGCAGCAGCAGGAGAAGGAGCAGCAGCAGCAACAGGCAACTACCTGCTGCTGCTGCTGCTGCTGCCCTTGCTGCTGCTAATACAGATGAACAGATGCAGCATATTTCAAGCCATCCCCAGAGAGAAGCAGCAATGAGAACAGCAAATGCAGAAAAGACAGCATCAACAGCAACGGCAGTGGCAGCAGCAGCAGCAGCAGCAGCAGCAGCAGCAACTTACACAAAGGCGCGCGCTGCCTCAGCGACATCATCTCTTTTTAGAATTGTAGATAACCATGAAGCAGCAGCAGTTTGAGCTGAAGGGCTGAGGGACACAAAGGAGACAGCAGCAGCAGCAGCAGCATGAAGCGGGAAACGCAGTCAACCAATACAGCAACAACAGCGACAGCAGCAGCAACAGCAGCAGCACCGGCAGCCATCACGGGGGAGCACAGAAACAACCAATATAGCAGCAACTGCAGCAGCAACAACTGCAGCAACAGCAGCAGCAGCAACAGCAGCAGAAGCAGCAGCAAGGGACGCACAGGAAGATAGCATAGACCAGGAGGTCAGAGACACTCTTCTGTGCAGCTTCGTTTGTAGACAGATAGCTGCACGCAGCAGCAGCAGCAGAAGCAGCAGGAGCAATTGCACCAGCAGTTGCTGCAGCAGCTGCAGCAGCAGCGGATGTGACAGTGGGTGCAGCAGCAGCAGCAGCAGCAACAGGAAGCAAAAGGAGACAAATGCTGCAGAGAGAAAGGGAGACAAATGCTTTTAGAGACAGGCAGCAAACAAAACAGCAAAAATGAAGCAAATGCAGCAGCAAAAACAAACGAATAAAATAATAGTAATAATAAAATAATAATAAGATGATGATAATAATAATATTAAAATAATAATAATAAACAAACGCAATAATAGAAGGGTAGTGGCTGCAGACAGAAAGGCGGTGTGGCAGAGAGACAAGAAAAATAAATAATGTTGCAGCAAAGGAGACAGAGGCAGCAGCAAAGGAGACAGAGGCAGCAGCAAAGGAGACAGATGCAGCAGCAAAGGAGACAGATGCAGCAGCAAAGGAGACAAAGCAGCAAATCGCACCCAAGTAGATTAAGGGCTGAGGTGTGCAGAGCCTGCTGCAGCAGCTGCGACTGCAGCAAACTGCTGAGAGCAGCAGCAAGAGCCTCGCTGTTTCCCTCTAATACGCTCAACAACCACCGCCCTGCTTGCTGCTGCAGCTGCACATACACCCCAGCAGCAGCAGCAGCAACGAATAATTACGCAGCAGCCGCAAGCCTCCACCTGTTTCAAAGATTCCTGCTGCTGTTGCTGCTGCTGCCGCCGCTTCTGCTGCTACTGTTTCTGCTGCTGCTCCTGCTCCTGCTGCTTCTGCTGCTGCTCCTGCTCCTGCTGCTTCTGCTGCTGCCGCTGCTGCTGATGTTGCTGTTGCTGTTGCTGCTGCTGCTGCTGCTTACATTCTTGTCTGCAAGAATATCATCAAGAAGCTGCTTGGAGAACTCTGCAGCTGCAGATACACCGCACGAACAGCGCGCAACGAGCTGCTGCTGTAGGTGCTGCAGTAGCTGCTGCTGCAGTTGTTAACAGCAGCAAATCAGCAGCTCCAGCAGCAAACAGCGGCTGCTGCTGCAGTTCAGAGATAAATGAGGAGACAGCAGCAAAAGGAAAAGATGAAGAGACACCCGGGCAGACAAACAGCAGCAAGGAGAGCAGCAGCAAGAGACACCGAAGCAGAGACAGACAAAGGAGGAGACAGATAAAGAGACAGCTGAAGAGACAGCTGAAGAGACAGCTGAAGAGACAGCTGAAGAGACAGCTGAAGAGACAGATAAAGAGACAGCTGAAGAGACAGATAGGGAAACAGAAAAAGAGACAGCTGAAGAAACAGATAAACAGAGGAGGAGACAGCTGAGGAGACAGCTGAAGAGACAGCTGAAGAGACAGCTGAAGAGACAGCTGAAGAGACAGCTGAGGAGACAGCTGAA